CATCCAAAAAGTGTGTCATACCTTCAACCCTCAATATCTCCATTTAAGAACCCCTACGATAATACATCTATGTGGTATGTGTGCACCACATAAAACAGATCCTGCAGCACACTGTGTATAATGAGAGAAAAAAAAACTGAAATCATGATTTTTCGATTAAAACAGCGACTTTGCAGTGTTTTTTCGAATGTTTTTTATAGTTGTATTTGTGATTTCTTGGTCTCATTTGATAGAATGGAAGACATATTACAGAAATAGAGATGATTTTGATTGGTTTTAGCACTAGAAATGGCTTGAAAACTGAGCTCAAAGTAGCAGAAAATGTTAAATTTTTGCGATATTCAAGAGTAAAACAAACGACCTCACACGTCTAATACACGCCAGCTGGTGGGTCTAATGTGCATTCACAAATATGGTGATGATATTTATACAATTATTACAGTATTGCATAACAGTAAATCTTCTATTTTTGGTGTGGAATAAAAATTCATTATGTGAATAAAAAATCAAAATGGAATTTATTTGTAAAGTCTCAAAATGTAACTAATGAACAGAGGAAATGTTAGTTTAGTTCCAGGAATACCTACATTGTTTATTCTGGACCCTATTTTGAAATTGGAATATTTTGAAGTTTGTGTTAAATTGGCCAAATTAACAATTTCCGAATCACTTTAATTTGTAGTTGAAACAGTTGACTTGGCGATTTCTTGTGCTCAATCGATAGAATAGAAGTAATACTAGTGAAATAGCTAAGAATTTGGTTGACTGGAATAATGTAATTAGTCAAAAATGGGAGTCAAAGTCGGCAAAATCGCCGATTCGTAAATATCGCTGATACATCAAAATTTGTGAGAGCATAATTTCGTCAGTTTTCCATCAAATTTCATACTTTTTGTTTTATTACCTTCACAAAAAGATTCTCTATCATTTCATAAGAAAAAATAACAAATTTTTTTTTTTGAAAATTCTTGGCCTTGGACCCTGAAGGGGTTATAAAAAAATACCTCATCTTAAAATGTAGATACCCAATGGACAATCTTACTATTGAGTCAGCCTTTCTTATATATTTACACAATGACAACATAATCATACAGTATTTGACAAATATATTATAATCAATAATGATTTTTTATTAGTAAATGCTCCTACAAATTCTACTAGCTTTAAGCCTTGACTGTATAAAGAAAATAGTAATGGTAACTTACCAGGCACTGTAAGGGGAATAAATGATGCTCCAGAAATGTCTTCTACTAAGGAAGTGGTGGAACTGTTTATTGTGAAAACAAAACCCTCTTCACTACTGCTATTTATGGTCCTGTTTTCACTGCTATTTGTAATGACATTTAGGCCACTACTTTCACTGTTATCTAAAGTGCTGCTCACACTGTTTTCACCACTAACTGTACAGCTGTGTCTGCTAATATTTCCACTGCTAATGCTCAAGTTGCTGAGGGAGTTATTTCTGTTAGCATTCGTCATGTCCTGTCTAATCCTTTTAGATTTCCTTTTAGGTACAGAGGCCAATAATGGCCTCATCTTTCTGCATCCAGAACGCTGTGGAGTTGAAGAGGTAAACAGCTGAGCAATGGAAAAAGAGAAAATATTGGGAGTGGAAGAGTTCAATGCCTGAGATGTAGAGGAAAATGATTCAGGAGTTTCATGGAAGTTAGGTGACTGGAATATTCCAGAAGTGGATCTTACAGTTCCCACTAGGGGTGTCTGGGCTTTACTGCTGACCCCATCACTCTGATAAGTAGCTTGGGAACTTGAGGAGAGTGATTCATCATCACTCAGGGTGATTGTTTCCACTGATGAGCATTCAGGTGTTGTGGCAGTACCCCTGCCATGAACTGAAAGATAAAAACATTGAAAAACTATCACAACCAATAATATACAATCAGTACATTGAAAATACTACTGCATATCTGTTTCAATCACTGCATGATCCAAGAAGAGTATCTACATAAAGTAAAATCTCTCATTAATAGATTTTTGGCAATTTTGGACAAAAAACTTGCCAGCCAAACAATTATTGGACAATGGTCTGTAATTCCGCATTTTGTCCATAATGAAAGTATCCAGTTGTCTTCTTAAGTACTGCACCAAGTTTGCTAACTCTGAAGATCATCTGGTACTGGCCAAAGTAGCCAAGTCCAGGACCTGTCCATTTTTGTTGCTCACTGAATTGTTGTCCACCTGTGCCAGTTTTATTGTTTGTGTTCACTCACTCATACACTCGTCATTCAGACTCTCATTTTCCCTGGATTTAGAGCATTTTGTTTGACTTTATTAACATATTAAGTAAACAATGGCTTCTAAAGCAAGTGGAGGAAGCAAGAGATAACATGTGTTTCTCAATATTAAGAAAAAACTTGAATAAATAAAGTTGAATATGGCATCTCAGCGGCACAGGTATGTGAAAAATATGGTGTTAAGAAACAGTGTTTGATATCTGTAGAAGAAAGAACAAACTTACAGTCTATGCTCTTAAGTTTAGTGTAGATGCTAGCCATAAATGTTCAACAATTAACCCTAGAAAGCATATGAAAACAACCCATGAAAACAAGGCTTGAAGAAGCAGTGCAGAAATGGAATATTCAGCAATGTTATGTTAGTGTCAATGTTTGTGGTGCTGATCTTCACTCTGCTGCTCATAAGCTAGCAAAGCATATAAATGTAGAATTTCAAGAAAGTAATGGTTGACTTTGGCATTTCTGTAAATCATCACGGCTTGAGTAACATGAAGACTTATGGCGAGGCTGGAAGTGGACCACAAAGTTGACCAGTTCAGACTAAATGTTAAATAATCTGACAGTGAGAAACTCTTATCTCAACTGTATAATGCTGATGAGACTGGTCTCTTTTGGCATTCATTCTCCTCCAACACACTAGCCTTTTAGCATGAAGACAGAATATCAGGCCATAAGCTCAGCAAAGACCACTTCTCAGTAATATGCTGTGCTAATGTTGATGGTTCTCACCATTTGAAACTGAGAGTCACAGGCAAATAAGAATGGCCTTATGCTTTAAAGGATTTCATGAATGAGTTGCTACTAAATTATTGCAAGGATAAGAAAACCTGGTTTGACATGGATGTATTTGACGACTGTTTTTTTGCACATTTCGTCCCTGAAATACATAAGTACTAGCTAGTGGTCCTTAAACTAGATCCTGAGGATGTCAAGGCTCTTCTGCTTACCCATGGGCTGAAATTTATGCAGCACAGATGGTACAATTAATGCCATGTTTCTTCCCCTTAATACCACCTCCCTAATTCAACCTATGGATCAGAGGAAGGGGGGTTACTGAAGTCTGCAAGAGATTGTACAAGTCTAAGTACATAGGTGAAGTACTACTAGAGATGGAGAAGGATGAAGATTTAAAGACACCAGAGGCCTATGTATGATGGAGAACATCAAAAAGTATAACCCAAAGTCTGCCATCTTCAACCTTGCAGTATCATAAAAGGAACTGAAAAGGACAACATCAGACAATGTTTGTAAGTTTTTTTTTATATAACCACGATACTGAGTTGTACATGGAATGGTTTGATGCCAGTGATTTCATGGTATCCTTCAGAAGGTGGGGAAAAGAAACAGAAGTTATAGAGAAGATGGAATGGCATGGTTTATAAAAAAAATGATGGTGATCCTGGTTACCAAATGTTGAGTGATGCAGAAAGAACATAAGTGTCTTGGCATAGAAGAACAATGCAGCAATGATGTGACAAAGAAGAGATTGAAAGGCCCACCAAAGCTGTCAATTAATGTTTTCATCAGGTACTTTGGGACCCCTCTGACAAAAAGTGAAGTAAAGGTCCATTATCCATGCTTATAAATTCTTAGAGTGTATCTTTAAGGTGCCATCATCAACATGGTTTATGCCATTAAAGCTGGTTTATAATTTTTTAAACCTGTTCTCTTTCAACAATTTTAAACCATTATAGCTTCTCTGCTCAGCCACCTACATCATCTAGGCATCTACATCTTCTCAGCCATCTAACGCTTCTCTGTCATCTACATCTTTTCAGCCCCCTTTACATCATCTCAGCCATCTACATTATTTCATAGGAGAGCTTCAGAGCTCTCTGATTCGAACAAATGTTAGTCTGAGCCCCATTATCGATCACAGCAGTTTTCCCTCATCTCTCTATCATGAAAGATGAGTAAAATTACTTAAATTACACAGATTAAGGGAAAATTACTGTACAGTACATTTACTATACTGTAATACTGGTACTGTAGGTTACGTACCAGTATTTTTTAGTGCCCAGTTGCCTTTCTGCATCAGCAAACTTAGTTCCCCACTTCAAAGACAACTGGACATTCGTACACCCCCTCCCCTACTTGTCTGTTAATGAGGGGTTTTTTACTGTATTAAAAAAGCTGTCTCCTACCTTAATGAACACAAATTAATAGTATAGTTTACCTCTAAGTAAAATAATTAGCACTGAAGGTTTGAAGCTTATCAGATGAGATACACAACTATCATAAAAAAACCCCAGTTTCAATTATAGAAACCTCAATAAAAACATAGCTAAACTCAATGGGTGCCATCCTATCTATACGATGCATCAGTTTTTAAAACTAAAGCCATTAAGTGGCACACTAAAGTTATTTCAAGTAAATATTGCACCATTTTTAACCCTTTCGGGTCGAGACCCCCCCTGATTTCAAACTTGTTCTCAAGGTCAAAGGAAAAAAAAATTAAATGAAAAATTTGTTCCAAAGGTAATGAAACCAAAAGTACAAAATCTGATGGAAAAATTCATGGAATTACACTCTTGCTGCAAAGTTAGCAGTCTTGGTGATATTTACACATCAGTGATTTCCCCACTTTTTAAGCCCTATTTTCAGTAATTTCAATGTTCCAGTTCCCCAAACACAGTTATTTCACTAGTATTCTTTCTATTCTATCAACTGAGTACAAGAAACCACCATTTCAGTGGAACCCTGAATATTGGCCGCTGCAGGTATCAGCCGAATTGTTTTTTAGGCCAGTTTTGGGTCGAAATTTTGCTCGTGTTTTGGCCAGTGCCTCACAAATTGGGCCCCATATTAGACGCATCAGCCCCCCTCCCACTGTGACGCTGTGCGTAGGTGAGTCAGTCTCTCTGTGTCTCTCGGTGAAGTGAGCATATACTCCGCGCTTTTATCCAAACATTTCCTTAAAATCCATTGGTTTTTTATGCTTGTTTATTAAGTGTGACTGTAAAAATAAGCACCATGGGCCCAAAAGAAAGTTCAGAGTCCCCAGCCCTTTTGGTTTAAAGAAAGTGAGAAAACCGATAGAATTGAAGAAAGAAATTGTAGAAAAATACGAGATTTGGTGTGCGTGTGCTCCAGCTTGCCAGGATGTATGGCAAAAAATCAACAATCCTTCTGTCCTGGCAAAGAAAGAAAAAATCAAGGAAGCTGATGTGGTGAAAGGGGTAAACATGTTAACAAAAAAGAGATCACAAACAATGGAAGATGTGGAGAAGTAGTAGTAGTTGGGATCAGCGGAAAAAACAGTTAGCAGGAGATAGTATTCAGAGACGATCATTTGTGAAAAAGGGAGGTAGTTGCATGCGGATTTCATTAAAGAAAATTGCCCAGAACTAGCGTTGATGTTAGTGAATTTAAGGCCAGCAGAGGCTGGTTTGACAGATTTAAGAAGTGTAGTGGCATACACAGTGTCGTAAGGCATGGTGAGGGCTGCAAGTTCAGACAAACATGCGGCCCGAAAAATTTTGTGCAGGAATTCAAGGGGTACGTAGAGACTGAAGAATTCCACCCCTACAAGTGTTCAATTGTGGCAAAACAGGCCTCTTTTGGAAGAAAATTCCAAAGAGGACCTACATCATGCAGGAGGAAAAGGCATTGCCAGGACACAAGCCTATGAAGGATAGGCTAACTCTTTTGTTCTGTGATAATGCTAGTAGAAATTTCAAAGTGAAGCCTTTAGTGGTGTAACACTGAAAATCCCAGTGTGTTCAAGAAAAACAATGTCGTCAAGAGTAAACTGTGTGTGATGTGGAAAGCTAATCATAAGGCATGGGTCACGAGGCAAATTTTCATTGACTGGGTCCATGAAGTGTTTGGCCCGAGTGTGAAAAAATACCTCCAGGAAAATAAATTGCCACTCAGGTGTCTCCTGGTAATGAACAATGCTCCTTCTCATCCTCCAAACTTGGTAGACCAATTGCCTAGGGATTTCAGTTTTATAACAATGAAGTTCTTGCCTCCTAATGCTACTCCTCTCATCCAGCCTATTAACCAGCAAGTCATTTTTAGCTTCAAAAAAACTCTACACAAAAGCAGCGTTTCAAAGGTGCTTTGAAGTGACCTCGGACACTGAATTGACCCTAAGAGAGTTCTGGAGGAATCACTTCAATATCCTCCACTAGGTAAGGCTTGGCAGGGAGTGACTTCCAGGACTTTGGGAAATCTTTTTGGAGAAAATTGTAGCCAGAATGTGTCCTCCAGAAGGATTTTGAAGGGTTTCAGGCTGACCCTGAGGACCCTACACCTGTTGTGCAATCTACTGTGTCTTTGGGAAAGGCCATGGGGTTGAACATGAGTGGCAAATGTGGAAGAGTTGGTGGGAGGACCACAGGGATGAGCTAACCCCTGAAGAGCTGCGACCCCTTTAACTGGAACAGCCCAAAAAACCACAGTGAGGACTTTGCTTCAGAGGAGGGGAAAGAGAGGGGAGGACTGCCTTCTTCAGAGATTAAAGGGGATTTGTGCTGTGGAGTGGCGCAAGCTTTTGCTGGAAATATTTACCTGACCAAGCTGAAACAAAACACATCTGAACAAGTTCAGTGACAAAACCTTGGCCCAACTTCAGGGTAATCTTAAAGAGGCACAGAACAGACCTCCTGAACAGTTTTTTGTGCGACAGGGGTCCAGTGACTTTCGAGTTGGTTCTAGTGCCATTAAAAGACAAAGAAGGGAAGTAAGCCCAGAGAGGGACTTGATACCTGAAGTCATTATAGAGGGAGATTCCCCTTTTAAACAATAACCTCTCCTCCCTCTCCCCCCTCCTGTCTTCCACGCAACAAGAAAATCTTCAATTAGGTATGTAATACTGATTTAAATGTTCATTTATATGTAACTGTCATTGTTTTGAGTATGTAAAACTATAGTTAAACTTTACAATATGTATTTTTTTTATTATTTTTGGGTGTCTGGAACGGATTAATTGTACTTACATTAATTTTTATGGGAAATCTTTCTTCTTTCTTTCAACAAAACCCCGCCGTTTTCCCCGAGGCACGGTGGGCCCCCCAAAAAAAAAGTTTCTTTTTTTAAATTAGTTTAAATTTATAAGGGAAGGGGTTAAATAGCCCCTTCTCCCGCATTTTGTCGCCTCTTACAACACGCATGGTTACGGAGAAGAATTTTTGTTCAAATTCCCTGGAGGTAGAACAAGTAAAGGAAAAAATCAGAAAACCCGAGGGGGTGTGTGTATTTTTACACACATATGAAGAGGGATGAGGAGCAATGTGGCAGATGTTGCAAGTTATGAATAGGTGTAAGTTATTAAATGCTGTAAAGAGGGTTTTTTTGAGGATAGTGGGTCAGTTAGGGTGTTGTAGAAAGAGAGGGAGAATACTTCCCCTACGGTAAAAGTAGGTCTTAGACAGGGATGTGTAATGTCACCATGGTTGTTTAATATATTTATAGATGGGGTTGTAAAGGAAGTAAATGCTAAGGGTTCGGGGAGAGGGGTTGGGATTAAATTTGGGGAATCAATTCAAAATGGGAATGACAGTTACTTTTTGTGATGATATGTGCTTATGGGAGATTCTAAAGGGAAAAATTGCAAGGTTAGTGAATGAGTTTGAGAATGTGTTGTAAAGGTAGAAAGTTGAAAGTGAACATAGAAAAGAGTAAGGTGATGAGGGTATCAAATGATTTAGACAAAGAAAAATTGGATATCAAATTGGGGAGGAGGAGTATGAAGAAGTGAATTTTTTCAGATACTTGGGAGTTGACGTGCGGCGATTGGTTTTATGAAGGATGGGGTTTTAATCATAGAATTGTTTGAGGGAAAAAAGGTGAGTGGTGCATTGAGGTATATGTGGAGTAAAAAAAAAAACGTTATCTATGGAGGCAAAGAAGGGAATGTTGAAAGTATAGTAGTACCAACACTCTTATATGGGTGTGAAGCTTGGGTGGTAAATGCAGCAGCGAGGAGGCGGTTGGAGGCAGTGGAGATGCCCCTGTTTTCGGGGCAATGTGTGGTGTAAATATTATGCAGAAAATTCGGAGTGTGGAAATTAGGAAAAGGTGTGGAGTTAATAAAGTATTAGTCAGAGGCAGAAGAGGGGTTGTTGAGGTGGTTTGGTCATTTAGAGAGAATGGATCAAAGTAGAATGACATGGAAAGCATATAAATCTATGGGGGAAAGGGAAAGGCGGGGGTAGGGGTCGTCCTCAAAAGGGGTTTGGGGAGAGAGGGGTAAAGGGGGTTTTGTGGGCGAGGGGCTTGGATTCCAGCAAGCGTGCGTGAGCGTGTTAGATAGGAGTGAATGGAGACGAATAGTACTTGGGACCTGACGATCTGTTGGAGTGTGAGAGGGTAATATTTATTGAAGGGTTCAGGGAGGAAAACCGGTTATTTTTCATATAGTCAGACTTGAGTCCTGGAAAATGGGAAGTACAATGCCCGCACTTAAAGGAGGGGTTTGGGATATTGGCAGTTTGTAGGGATATGTTGTGCATCTTATATGTATATGCTTCTAAACTGTTTTATTCTGAGCACCTCTGCAAAAACAGTGATAATGTGTGAGTGTGGTGAAAGTGTTGAATGATGATGAAAATATTTTCTTTTTTGGGGTCACCCTGCCTCGGTGGGAGACGGCCGATTGTTGAAAAAAAAAAAAAAAAACATGTATGTGTAGTGTGACCTAAGTGTAAGTAAAAAGTAGCAAGACATACCTGAAATCTTGCATGTTTATGAGACAGAAAAAAGGACACCAGCAATCCTTTTTTTTTTTTTTTTTCAAAAACCGACCGGATCCCACCGAGGCAGGGTGGCCCAAAAGAAAAACAAAGTTTCTCTTTTTTAAATTTAGTAATTTATACAGGAGAAAAGGGGGTTTCTAACCCTTGCTCCCGGCATTTTTGTCGCCTCTTACAACACGCATGGCTTACGGAGGAAGAATTCGTTCCACTTCCCATGGAGATAAGAGGAATTAAACAAGAACTAGAAAGAAAATAGCAGAAAACCCAGAGGAGTATGTGTGTATATATACGCTTGTTACATGTATGTGTAGTGTGACCTAAGTGTAAGTAGAAGTAGCAAGAATACCTGAAATCTTGCATGTTTATGAGACAGAAAAAAGGACAAACCCGTAATCCTACCATCATGTAAAAACAATTACAGGCTTTCGTTTTACACTCACTTGGCAGGACGGTTTGTACCTCCCTGGGCGGTTTTCTGTCTACCAACCTATACCCAGGTTATGGGAAATATTCCTTCAAATTCAGGCCTTTTCGAATTTAGGCTGACCTTCTGGAACGGATTTCAGCCGATATTCGAGGTTCCACTGTACTTATTTCAACTACTCAATAAAGTGATCTGAAATCATCAATTTGGCCAATTTTGCACGAAATTAAAAAATTACCAATTTAAAAATACGGTGCAGAATAAGAACAATGTAAGACATTCCTGGCACTAAAAAAAATTTCCTCTGTTCATTACTTACATCCCCAGACCTCTCTTATATTAAACCTGCTTTCCATTTTGAATTTTTATTCACACAAAAAATAGAAGATTTACTGTTATGCATACTGCATTACTGTAATAATTGTATAAATAATGTCAGTATATTTGTGAACATGTATCAGACCGACCAGTTGCATGCGTATTGGACGAGTGACATAACTTGTGTACTCTGGAATATCAGCAAAAATCAAACATTTTTGCTACTTTGAGCTCAATTTCAAGTTACTTTCGGCCGAGAAACTAATCAAAATCATATCTATTTCTGTAATATATCTTCCATTCTATCAAATAAGATAAAAAAAACGAGAATACAACCATAAAAGCCATATGAAAATACACTGCAAAGTCGCTGTATTACACCAAAAACATGGTCACAGTTTTCCCCCATTATGCAATGGTGCTGAACAATTTTTTTTTATATGGTGCACACATACTGCACAGACCCATTCTCTCATATCTAGGCCCAAATTTACTGCTCACAGCTTATCTGAGAGAGAGCTGAGCTCATTACGCAGAACATGGCCAACCCAAACTTCAAAGCTGTAGTACTACGGGCCCCACCCTGAAAGGATTATTAGAAATAATGAGTTGGCCCCTATACAGTGGACCCCCGGTTAACGATATTTTTTCACTCCAGAAGTATGTTCAGGTGCCAGTACTGACCGAATTTGTTCCCATAAGAAATATTGTGAAATAGATTAGTCCATTTCAGACCCCCAAACATACACGTACAAATGCACTTACATAATTGGTCGCATTCGGAGGTAATCGTTATGCAGGGGTCCACTGTATACTCCTATAACAATCTCAACCTTCTTCTAAGTAAGACACACTAATATTAAAAGCTTGAAGCTAATCAGAAAAGGCTTTCTAAAGCTACTGTGCAGAAACCAAAATCAGGATTGTTCTATATGAATCTGACTAGAGGCACCTGCACATGCCAATATATACTTGAACTTTTCTGCATTTACAATACACCAGAATTTAAAATTTGAAAGCCAATCTCCTCAGGCATTCTAAACGAAAATCTTAAAAGACAACAAAATATTCTCTCAATCACTTATGAGTATTCCTTCGAGGATACTTAATTACTTTTAAAATACAGCTTAATCTTCCCTTTTAATAAAAAACAATATAAAAGAAGAGACTATAGCTGGACTATTTATGATCCCATATAAAACCCATTCATCTGTAATGATATGTCTTACCCATACTTTCATGATTATCCTCCAGTGTATTTGCTTCCATACACTCATGACTGCTAATATCCTCGTCACTATCTATAATGACTGTTTTGTCATAGTGTGCAGGCTCTGAATCCTCAGCTGTGGAATTATCACAAATGCTATTAACGAGCTGGTATTCCCTCTTGTCAGCAGGGTCAAGCGGTTTCCAGCTGCCATCAGCAAGCAGTATTATTTTGTCAGTGTCAACATTTTTTTCTAAGACTGATGTGAAATACCTGTAGGAAATTTTTTTAAATAAAATAAAAGTTGGTAGCATATGGTAATAAGGTTTAGTCATATAATCTATTATAATAACTGCACTGAAGGAAATTTAAAATGATGAGAAAAGATCTTTAATTTTAGAAATCTCTCTCAAAACAATGCCATCTGCTAATTTGATATCCTAATATGAAAAACTTGCTTATATGTACGTACTGAGAAACATGAAGTTATCATAATTATTGCTCTCCTAACTGCTTGTACAAATGAGAGTGAAGAGATGAAAAATGTGAAAAAGGTAGATACAATTAAATAAATGTGACAATGTGTACAGATTATTAATTCTGAAAAAAGAAAATAAAACAGGTAATCATTTTTTTTTTCAACAAGTCGGCCATCTCCCACCGAGGCACTGTCACCTCACTCATACATAATCATTATTTTTGCAGAGGCACTCAGATACTACAGTTTAGAAGCATATGTAAAGATTATAACATATTCCTCCAAACTGCCAATATCCCAAACCTCTTCTTTAACTCGTAAACGATCCAAACGTATATATACATTTTTTTAACATTTGAAAGTATGTAAACAAAGTAGATCTTCTTTTTGTTTTTCTACATTTGAAAATGTGTAAAAAAACTTTGATCTAATTTTTTTTTTTTGTTATATTTGAAAATATGTAAAAAAACTTAGATCTACTCTTGTAGCACTACACATGTGAACGTAGATCTGCTTGGACCATTTACAGGTTAAAGTGCAGGCAAATCATATAGCATTGTAATAGGAGTAGCTAAAAAACAGCTATCAGTAGGGATGAAGTGTCCCCCTCTTCCTCTTAACTTCTATACATGTTTCCCTATGACCCAAGTCAATCATTCTACAGCTCTATCTATATTCACTTTTAATGAATTTTTCATTCTGTCTCTCTTCTTCTTCTATATAAAGTAATACATTGCTTCACACTCCTTCAATTACAGAACATTTGAATCTTTTATTGAGAAAAAGAAATCTGGCTGCCTTACCCATCAATCTGCAGGTGGTCATACTCTGCTGGTCGTGAACAAACAGGACACAACCACTTAGGTTTGCATTCATTCATTTGAAGATATATAACAGCATCAAAGCACTGAAAGTGGCTACATGTGGAAGCTCGGCATGGTAGCTTCATTCTAGCTTTACCTAGAGGACATAGTAAAGAGCAATGAAGGGTTGTGGAGGCTATTTCATCACCAGAATTGTCCTCCTGTAGCTTCTCTTTAACTGTGGATAAACAACAACAAATATTAATTCTTAATATCATTGTCAATACTGTCATTGCTATCTATAGGCCATTATGTATTTTAATAATATAAGTGTAACAACTAAAAGTAGTAGGTTGTAGACAGCAACCATCCAGGGAGGTACTACTGTCCTGCCAAGTAAGTGTAAAATGAAAGCCTGTAATTGTTTTACATGATGGTAGGACTGCTGGTGTCTTTTGTCTGTCTCATAAACATGCAAGATTACAGGTACGTCTTGCTACTCCTACTTACATTTAGGTCACACTACACATACATGTACAAGCATATATATACACACCCCTCTGGGTTTTCTGCTATTTTCTTTCTTGCTCTTGTTCTTGTTTATTTCCTGTTATCTCCATGGGGAAGTGGAACAGAATTCTTCCTTCGTAAGCCATGCATGTTGTAAGAGGCGACTAAAATGCCAGGAGCAAGGGGCTAGTAACCCCTTCTCCTGTATATATATTACTAAATGTAAAAGAAGAAACTTTCGTTTTTCCTTTTGGGCCACCCCACCTCGGTGGGATACAGCCGGTGTGTTGAAAGAAGTGTAACAACCATATAATGGTTGGAATGTGTGTACCCCGTGGCCCCTTCATTTTCCTAATTCCCCCACACCTCTCGGTGTGAGTAACAGATGAAACCTGGACTCCATTCAGGCAGGACATTAGCTTGACAGACACAACCATTGATAATACAGTGGTACCTTGACCTACGAGTTTAATTCTTTCAGTGACCAAGCTTGTAACTCAATTTGCTCGTATATTAAATCAATTTTCCTCATTGAAATTAATTGAAATGCCATTAATCCATTCCAGCCCCCCCCCCAAAAAACATATTTTTTTGTTACAGGTTTCTAAATAATAAAAATGTGTATTTATAAATAAGAAATTATTCTTGCCTTTTTTGCCAATCCCAGCAATGTTTCAGAAATGCTGGAGTACATATGAAACTCCTTGAAGCACGGTGTAAGATGAGTGTCACTCCACTGCTGACAGTGCAGCAGTGGAGTGACATTTGATGATCATGCACTGCCTTGGCTTTATTTTTCACCGTTACACATAAACATGTCTGTCTGTCTGTCTGTATCTGTTTGTTTCTATCTGTCTACAGTGGACCCTCGGGTAACGGCATTAATCTGTTCCAGAGAGCTTGCCTTTAACCGATTTTGCCATTAGCTGAATTAATTTTCCCCATAAGAAATAATGGAAATCCAATTAATCCGTTTCAGACACCCAAAAGCATTAAAAAATATTTTTTTTAAAGATTAGATATAGATATACATACAGAAAACAGTAGGTAGTAGGTTGGTAGACAGCAACCACCAAGGGGGGTACTACCGTCCTGCCAAGTGAGTGTGAAACGAAAGCCTGTAATTGTTTTACATGATGGTAGGATTGCTGGTGTCTTTTGTCTGTCTCATAAATATGCAAGATTACAGGTACGTCTTGCTACTTCTACTTACATTTAGGTCACACTACACATACATGTACAAGCATATATATACACACCCCTCTGGGTTTTCTTCTATTTTCTTTCTACTTCTTGTTCTTGTTTATTTCCTCTTACCTCCATGGGGAAGCGGAACAGAATTCTTCCTCCGTAAGCCATGCGTGTTGTAAGAGGCAACTAAAATGCCGGGAGCAAGGGGCTAGTAACCCCTTCTCCTGTATATATTACTAAATGTAAAAGGAGAAACTTTCGTTTTTCCTTTTGGGCCACCCCGCCTCGGTGGGATATGGCCGGTGTGTTGAAAGAAAGATACAGAAAACAATGACAAATAAATATAAAGCACTAATAAAATGGATAAATAAACATTTAACATCACACTTACCTTTATTGACTCTTGTTGGTGTATGGAAGACAGGTAGGAGGCGAGAGGAAAGCGAGTTTATTATACTTTAATATGACGCTAATATCATCTCTACAGCTTATTTATCCATCACAATTCATCTAATATGACATAATAAACAATATTAACCCTTTGGGGGTTTCGGACGTACTAGTACGTCTTATGACCCAGGGTTTTTGACGTACTAGTACGCCTAAATTCTAGTGCCCTCAAATCTAGTGAAAGAAAGCTGGTAGGCCTACATATGTATCTCAGTAGTAGTACCAGTTCCTAGTAACCAGATACCAGTAACCAGTGTACCAGTAGATGACTCACTACCAACCGTCTGCGTGAATCACTGATTGATTATTCATATTGCTGCTGACCATAGCAGGATTTCAAACACCCTCACCCGTAGGCACTTGTGGGTCAGTCGAAGATAGGGAGCAGAGAGAGGCAGGTCGGCTGTTGGTGCTTTCCCATACTTTCCGTTATATTATACGTACTACCAGCCTACGTGAGTATTCTTACCCCATCCACGTTATCGAAAACCCACTTGACAAATGGTGGCACCGGTGTGGGCATGGATTTAAGGGTATTTCAGACGTTAGAAGACTGTTTGTGGGGTCCCGGCAGGTCAGAGGTGAACCGTCTCAGCCACCTCCAGCTAGCAGCTTACCCTCACCACACCACCCTGTGTACTCCAGCCTGCAAGCCTGTTGCAGCCGTTTTTCAAGCTTCCTGGCTTAGTTCGTGTGCTAATTGCTTCAATCTCTGAGGGGTTGACCCGGATTTTGCAATTAAGCCAGTCAATAAGCCAGAATGTGGAAGTGAACGCTAGTCAGCCTGCCTCAGCCTACCATCCAGTTTGTCTCCTGTCATCCACCTGCTCCTTCATGCTGTGTGCATCGTTACACGTCTTCCAGTCAGCCATTCTCGTGGGTTAAGCCAGTCAGCCAACTCAGCTTCTAACCCAGCTGAGAGAGAGAAGTAGCCACACAAGTTCCTCTGAAGTATTGTCTCATATATCACTTGTGCTTGGATGCTGGTAAGAGTGGTCTTCATCATCCCTGTGGCATTGTGATTTAGTTAAGCCACCTTGTGCGTGGTGAGAAGTGCGTGGCAGTGAGAGCACACAGGGCCAGCTTGTTCCGCTGCCCCCACCACCACAACCAACCCAATCACCACCACCACCCGCCCCCCACCTCATCTACCTGTGAGGTTTTTCTTTTTCCACCCTTGTACTGGGTCCTAGTACTTTGGCTCACATAATTGGTCAAGAGATTGTAGCTGAGCGCCAACGATAAAGCCAGTTATGTGAGTTCACCTAGAAAGTGCATTTTTTCCGCACAGGACGTCTTCTCCTCATCACTAGTCACTCCATCTACACTACTCCAGACTTCAGTGATAATTTTCTGTTTAGAGACATTTTTCTTGCATTTAAAGACATTTGTGTGTGTGAGACATTTACAGTTAATTTCTTGTGTACTCTAAGCCTTGTGTTTTCAGTGTAGACTCAGTGTTTCTTTGACTCATTATTTTTGCAATATTTTTCAGTGTTATTGCTCATCTCTTGTGTTTCATTTTTATAATTTTTATCTGTTTTTTTTTTTTTTATGCTACTCTCTGTCTGTAGTAAGCATTATTCTGTAGTGTACCAGTCAGTCACTCCGTGTGAAATAATTCAATTTTTTTTTATTTTATCTTGTGTTCTTTCAGCATTGTATTCTCCAGTATTTGTCGTATACCAAATTATCCATTTATTTCTATGTGTGTCTTTTTTTCGCGTCCAGCAGTGTCTCATTCCCTGATCTTTTCGCAGACTTGTGTACCATTATTTTTGCCAGCAATTTTTGTCGTATCAGTCACAGCAAGATTTTGTTGTAAGAATATACTAAAAAAATGAATAAGTGAATATGTTGTGTGTGCCCCGCCACTTGTAAGTGTTACACTTCCAGTTTTGTTTCTTTTTTATTTTTATTCATATTTTTCATATTTCTTTGAACAAATTCACTCTTATTAATTTAAATTTATTTTTTAACGTAAAGTGTTTTCTTTACTCTGTTTAAATTGTTTTGTCTAATTTACAATTAAGAGTTAAAGTGTTCAATCAGTTTTTCTTCATATTTTTATTTTATTATTTAACCTACATTTTCCCAGTGTAACTTTTATTACTGTAATGATTATTTCTGCGTCTTATTTTGTTGCACTTGTTCTGCAGTGAATTATTTTGTTGCACTTGTTCTGCAGTGAATTATTTTCTTTTATTGTTATTTTTATGCATTATTATTCTCAGTTCATTATTGTTTGAGTGTCTTGTTTTTCATTTTATTATTTTTCCTCATGTTGTCTTTGTATTATATTTTAATTTTGTTTATGCATTCTTAGAATATATTTAAATTTCCCAGTTATCCCTCGTTGCATACAATTTAGTGATTTTATTTTTTACTTTTTATATTGATTTACAATTTTATTAGTTAATTTCTTTATTAGCAAGAGTACAGACAGCTCATTTTGCATTTAATTCAGTCTCCAGTGATATTTTTACTTGTAAATTCCAATGTACTTTTTTTTATCTTGTCCAGCAGTCCTTTACATTGAGTTGTTCTTCCTCTTGCAGTGTATCTTAGACATTTTTTTTTTACTTCTGCAGAATTAGTTGCATCTCTTTTATTTTAATTTTAGCATTTTGTATCATTCTTATTATTCATTATTTTTGCCTTATTTGTTCTTGTGCAACTTCTTTGCCATTATGTCTCACATAGCTTCAAGTGATACTTTAGTGAATGGCGACACTCAGACCTCTCAGGCTACTGCTGCTCCTGTCATCAGTCCTCAGTTCCTTATCAACTGACAGACCGACCCAGACACTGAGACACTATAGTTTTACTCGTGATTCCCTTGATGCCTTACCTTTATTCAATGGCCATGTACATAGTCTTGAAGCATGGTTTACTGCCATTCTTTCTCATGTTAATGCTCTAGTTGACAGTCCTCCTTCAGAGGAAAGTCTTATCAGACTTGCGAAAGAAGCTCTTCATCTGTCCCCTGCTGCTGTTCACGTTGTTGATCTCCTTGATATGCGAGACTTCAGGAATCTTACTAAGTGGTCACAATATGAGGAACTGATTCGTTCTTTCCTCGTACCA